GCAGTACATGTATTCTTATTTCTCTGAGATGAGCATCTTAGTGTAAATGCTGGACTGTATAGTATGTGTGTGTTCAGTCTTGTTAGAAACCACCACAGCTTTTGCCAAACAATTTGCAGGTGGCTTTAGGTAGACCTAGATCTTGCCTCTTTCTCACCTCTGGGTCTTAAAGATAACTATAGAATGTGCTAGGACCTCAACATCCTAAAATAAAGAGGGTGTGGCTGGAACAGTTGGGTCTCTAGAAATAAGATGTCTTCCAATAGTTCAGCCCATTATGTCATGTGGCTCTGGAATATGAAACCCAGTGTGGCCTGCTTTCCATGGCCCTCAGCTGTGATGTAAATAACACATACAAATGAAACTCCAGACTGTCTGGGTAGCTTCTGAGCCTTGAGGGACAGGGTCATAGTGCATCCTAGGCTTCTGCTGTTCCTTGTTGCCCATCAGTAAATAATGAATCTGCTTCATGTAACCGCTGGTGTTCTGTTTCACAGGGAAGTTGGAAGCCAGCTCACAGCACACTTCTCTGCCTGCTCTTCTGGAGCAGGTCTGTCACTTCGCGTTCTCATCATCAATGTACAAACTGAGGAGCGTTAACTGCTGACTTAACAGCTCTGTAGAATATCTGAAGAAAAGATGGCAATGCTTTTTGGTTATTTCTGGGATGAACTGACCTATGAAAACATTCCATGGCCTTCAGCTCATATGATTTCAGGCTTTGGGAAGATGAGCATAGGGGAAAGTCATCGAGAAGAAGTCAAGCCAAGGAAGTCTTAAGGAAAATGTTTTTAGAGAAGGCTAAAAGCATATTCCAAAGGTCTCTGGAAGAAGGGGAGAAAGCACCTTTTTGCAATAACTGGTCAAGCATTTATCATGCTATCTAATATTTCTCCTAGTGACCCTGAGAGAAAGATAATATTATGTACATTCTAGAAATAATACAATTGAGGCTTCAAGTAACTTTCCAGACAAGCTGTAAAATTACTAAGAGACAATGTGAAAATGAGAAAGTCCTCCTCCCATTATCTTCCAGTGACCTTCAGCTCAAAAGCGTAAAAACAGGAGACAACCAACATAGTTGTTGAAAAGATAGAAAGGAAGGAATAAAGAAAGAATTTCGGACCTGCGATTAATGTATCCTAGGTAGGAAATTAATTTATCTGAATTTGTTTCCTCCATTGTTAAAGGAAGATAATGACAGGTCCTTCACAGAATTGAGGAATGAATAATCTTGATACAATAGCAAACAATAATTTGAAAAATACGATGATAAATGTTAGATTCATATTCTAGAAGTCCAGTCAGTCATAACGAGGGTATGGTGGTTTGAATGAGAAATGTCCCCCATAGATTTGAACATTCAAACACTTTGCCTTCAGTTGGTGGCACTGTTTGGGGAAGGTCATGGAACTTTTAGGAGGTGCAGCCTTGGTAGAGGAAGCCCGTCAGTGGAAGTGGGCTTCAGAGTTTGTAACCCCATCACACTTCCAGTTCATTCTCTGTTTCGTGTTTGCTGATGAAAATAGGAGCTCTCTGCTTTCAGCTCCTGGCATCATACCTACTGCTGTCTGCCATGCCTCCCTACCATGATGGAATCTCCCTCTGGAACTGTAAACCAAAATAAACTCTTTCTTCTATAAGTTGCCTTGGTCATGGTGCTTCTCACAGCAGCAGAAAAGTGACTAATACTGAGGGACAGGGTTAGAGAAACTATATTTGTAATCCTTTTCATTATCCTTTGGAGGTTTGAACCTTATAATAGTATCTGACCACTTAGAAGTACACTAGAAGATATTGCTTCTCCCCCAGATACCTTGGTGGTCTGTCAGTAGATGCTGCTTGTCACCATCCCCTCATTTCCTCCATTGCCATGGAGCTCTACTAGGCTCAGACACATGTAAATGCATCTCTATCCATGTTGGCCAGCCTGGTGTCCAGATGGGCATGGCACTACTCCCTAGAACATGGGATCCAGCCTGATGACCAGAGATCAAGTGACAAGGCCATTGTGGAAGGAGATGACTCCTTCAACACCTTTTTCAGTGAGAGAGGCACTGGCAAGCATGTGTCCAGGGAAATGTTTGAGGACCTGGAACCCATGGTTTTTGATGCAGTTTTCACTGGTACCTATAGTCAGCTCTTCCACCCTGGGAAGCTCATCATAGGCAAGGAAGATGCTTCCAATAACTATGCCCTGGCACAGGACACCATGGGCAAGAAGCTCAATGATCTCATCTTGGACTGAATTCAATGGTCTTTTGGGCTTTTCTGAAGCTTTGGTGGAGGAACTGGCTCTGGGTTCATCTCCCTGCTGTTAGAAAGTCTCTCTGTTGATTTTGGAAATAAGTCTAAGTTGGTGTCCTCCATTTACCCGGACTCTGGTACCCTATCCCTTGCATCTACTTGGTCACATATGACCCTGATATTTCTGCTGAGAAAGTTTACTTACTGTAGCAGAGCTCACTGGTGTCTGCTTCAAGTTGCTAACCAGATGGCAAAGTGTGACTCTTACCATGGTAAATAAATGGCTTCCTAATTGTTGTACTGTGGCAATGTGAAATGTCAATGCTCCTATTGCCTCCATCAAGACGAAGTATACCATCCAGTTTCTAGACTGGCATCCACTGGCTTAAAGGTTGGCATTAGTCTCCCATGTAGTACCTGGTGAAGACCTAGCCTAGGTACAGTGAGATATGTGCATATTGGGCCACATCACAGCCACTGCTGAAACCTGGGCCCACCTAGACCTCCATTTGACCCCATGCATGCCAAGTGCCTTGTGCACTGGTACAGGATTGAAGGCATGGAAGAAGCAGAGTTTTCTGGGACCCCAGGGGACATAGCTGCCCTAGAAAAGGCTTCTAATGCAGCTGGAGCAGATAGTGCTGGAGGTGAAAATGAGGGTAAGAGTATTAGCCTAGGTGCTGCAATTGGATACTTTATTGTCCTACTTTTGTTCTTTTTAATTCTTTTATTTCTGCGGTTAGTGGCAGCCCTAAACTATCAATAGGGGTGCTGTTCCCATTAATAGGGGAGGGGAGTGGAGAGATGACTCAGGGGTTAAGAGCACTGGCTGCTCTTGCAAAGGATCTTGGTTTGGTTCCCAGCACGCAGGGTCTAACAATCGTCAGTAACTCCAGTTCCAGGGCATCCAATGTCCTGGTCTGGCCTCCATGAGCATTGTATGCACTGATGTACTTACATACATGCAAACAAAATATTCATACATAAAAAGCAGCAGAGGAAGAGAGGTTGGAGAGATGGCTCAGCAGTTAAGAATGCTGGCTGCCCTTCCAGAAGACTGGAGTTTGGTCCTCAAGACCCATTAGAGCCTGTAACTCCAGCTCCAAGGGGATCCAAAACCTTCTCTGGCTTCCATAAGCACCTGCACACATGTGGCATCCTACCTGTACATACACATAAATAAAAGCAAATCTTTGTTTGTTTTGGTCTTTTTTGAGACAGTGTCTCCTTGTAGCCCCAGCTAGCCTGGAACTCATTATGTAGACCAGGCTGGTCTCAAACTCACAAAGATTCACCTGCCTCTGCCTCTGGGTTAAAGGCGTCTGGCACCATGCCCCACGGTTTTAGCAGTTTTATGCAGATATTTCTCAAGATAGTCACATCATTCCAGCTTTATGTAGACCAGGCTGGCCTCAAACACACAGAGATCTGCCTGCCTCTGCCTCCCAAGAGGCACTATACCCAGCCTATAAAAACAAACCTTTAAAAAAACAAATACATGGGCAGGGGGTGGTGGCACATGCCTTTAATCTCAGCACTTGGGAGGTAGAGGCAGGGGGAGCTTTGTGAATTCCAGGCCTGCCTGGTCTACATAGTGAGTTCCAGGACAGCTGGAGCTAGGAGACCCTGTCTCCGGGGTGGGGAGGGGGGGGGAGAATTAAAAAAAAAAAACAAATACACTAAAATTTTAGAGAATTTTTATATAAAACGCAATTTTAATATAAAAAGACTTTATCTTTGCCTTTATTTCAATTATCTTAAATCATGAAACTATGAAGCCACTTTATTTTCAATATATCCTTTTAATAAACTTTGGGATCATTGGACATAACTTCTGGATAACAGTTTTTCCTTTTTACTACTATTTTGTAAAAATGATTTAAGGTGGTATATTACATTGATTGGAATGAGGTATTTACTAAGAATAACATTAAGCACAGGTAGGGCACCTGTGCAACAAAGAGGAAGCGATTAGATGAGATCCAGGCTAAGGGCCACTGAGGAGTCTAATGATCTCCCGAAGCACAGGTACTGAATGGAAAGTATCAGGTTTCTGCATTTTCCTCATCTGCTTCCAAGGTCAGGTTGCGATGAGGGCTTAGTGCTGCCCAGGCTGACGTGGAACAGGAGGTCCTTCTGCCTCAGCCTCCCAGGCAGCTGGGATTAAATGTGGGAGCCACTCTGCTAGGTTGGGGTTAGGAATTTTTGTCGGTCGCTAAACACAGGGAAGGTGATTGTGCATCTCAGCGCCTTAGGTATTAAAAGAAATTCATTAAGGAAATGAGTTTAAAAAGTAAATACAAGACCTTCCCTTTTAGAGTTTCAACAGTGAAAAAAATTGAAATAAATGCGTGGAAACCCGCTTTTTTCTTCGGTTTTCCTTTCCGGAAACTTTCCTTGAAGCCCAGCATTTTCCTGCCCTTCGCCCAATCCAGCTCAATCAGGCACACGGCCCCGCCCTGGCGGAGCTCACAGGTGTCAAGCCCCGCCCCCAGCGAGAAGCTCCTCCTCCACCTGGCCAGAGGTCCCGCCCCCGGAAGCGTCATCGAACGTCAGCGCGTTGTCGCCGAAGTCCGGCAGCAAATGAGGGCCAGTCGCCGGGGCCTCGTCCCATCTGCGCCCGCGCGTGCGCGCGAGCGCGCGTGTTGCGGGCGTCCCGAAGCCCTGGCGGAGCGGAGCACGAATGGAGGCCTGAGGGCGGCGGGGGCGGGGCGCGTCGCGGGCGGGGGCCATGGCCACGTTTTTTTTCAGGTCGCGGGCCGCGGCGGCGATGCAGCGACGACGGCGCGCTCCGCTCGCGTCTCAGCAGCCCGAGGGCGGCGGGCGCGGCGAGGACGTGGAGGTGCAGTTCTCCGCCGGGCGTTTGGGTTCGGCCACCGCTGCGGGGGCGGCCGCGCGCGGCGAGGAGGACGAGGAGCGACTGGAGCGCGAGCATTTCTGGAAGATCATCAACGCGTTCCGCTACTACGGGTAAGCAGCCCGCCCTGGGCTCGCAACCTGCCTCGCACGGTCTGGCTTTGGGGTGTCCCAAGTGCGGTACCAGGCTGGAGATGGGAAGGAGGGCAGACCGGCTGAGCGTTCGGCTAGCCAAGTTCACCTGCACGTGGGACGCCGCGGGACGGGTTTGCCAACTTGCCTCTTCCTGTCTCTTGGCGCTGCGAACGCACGTGCCCTTCGGTGGGGACCCATTGATGGTGCCACTGGCTGGTTCTAACTGTGGGTGATGAAGGGCAGAGGTGATCCCAATACTCCAAAATATGCTAATTAGCAAGGGAAACGGGAACCGGCACGAGGGTCAGCTGTATGCTCTTGTTTTCTGCGTATGTATATGAAATTACCTTGGGCTAGGCATGACGGTAGGACCTGTGAGGACGTTCTTCATTCCTAATGACAATTTTCTGACTTTAACGTTTCCTCTAGATAGGTGTTAAAATAGCCTAATCAGAAATGCGTAATTGCAGATCTGAAAGGTTCTTAAAACTCCTGGATTGTCAGGTAAAGATAACACATTTATTCTAGTAAGTGGTAGAGTCCCTGTAGTTGGAACCAGAGAGACGAATGACCTCTTGTGCAGCTAAAATCATCCTAGACGGAACCCAAGTGTTCATCTCATTTGTACAATAGTTTATATATAAATCTTTTCCCAGCTGTGACCTCCTCAAGGGCAAGGACAGAGTCTTACTTATTTTTATGTCTCCATGCTTGGCAATGTTGTCGAAGCTCTATTTTTAACAAATAAAACATAGTGGCAAAGAAGTACATTCCCAAATTGTCCTGTCCATTTTGTGATAGTGGTTACAATACTTCTACTGTTTTGAATATAGTAGCTTGCTTAATAGAAGTTTTAAAAGTTATTTAACATTTGTGGCAGTTGAGGGAGGTGTTGAACCCAAGGCCTCAAGCTTACCACATGGGGACGCTACAAAGAGCTACACTTGTAGCTCCATGACAGACATTTTGTAGGGTCAAAGATCTTGAGGAAACTTACTAAATCAGTAATAGGGTCAATATGGCACATTTTACTATAGAAAATGTTAAAAACAAGAACAATATTGAGAAACAGTGGCAACATAGTAGACTCAGTTGAACATGTGTAATTGTCCTTTTAATATATCCAAGCAGTTTAGAATTGGTGTTTATTGTTAGTTGTTGGACAGGCTTTGGGCTGGGGGAGGGAACTTCGGGCTGCCTCTTTGTGTGAGTTCAGAAAGGGTGCTGTGTGTGTTCACTCCTGGCTGTGAACTTCATCTCTCTACCAGTTCAGTGTGGGGTTGAGGAAAAACTTTAAAATCTTGTATTCCAAGTGCTGTCTATGAAACCCTTCAAAATCTCTGGATAGAAAGTGTAGCATCAAAGATGTGATTTTTTAAATGCCTGTTAGAAGTGAGGGGTATGGAAAACATTGTGTTGACTTTCCAACAGTTTTCGGTAATCTAGGCTTGCTGTGTTCACGCAGCAGCCACTAACCCATCTGGATAGACTTAAACCGAAATTAATTAAAATGCAGCATTCATTCTCACTAGGCACATTCCAGGTGCTCCATAGCTGCCCGTCATGAGCGTGTGCTATACTGGACTAAGTAGCCCTTTCATCATTAAAGCAAGTTCTCATAGCCAGTTCTATTTCCAGACCCCTGGCTTTTTTTTTTTTTTTTTTTTTTTTTTTTTTTTGGTGGTCTTTTTGAAACAGGGAGATACTCCCTGCTGTCTCAACTGGCCATGGAGTCACAGCTCTAGCGGGCTTGGTTTTATCACTAAATGTTTTAGTGAATTTGTAAAAGATTTAGATTAAAGGTCATAGGGCAGAAAAATGCCTTGACTCCAAGATGTGCCTTCTTGATGCTAATTTAGTTCAGAGCCAAGAAGTCTGATGTTTTAAAATATTCCTTTTTAAAAAATACTACTTTTGCCAGGCATGGTGGTTCATGCTTTTAATCCCAGCACTTGGGAGGCAGAGGCAGGCAGATCTCTGTGAGTTCCAGGCCAGCTGGGGCTACAGGAAGACCCTATCTCCAAAAGACCAAAATAATAATAATTAATAATAATAATAATAATAAATGAATTAAATAAAAAAATATTTTTATGTATGAGTATATTGCCTGCATATAAGTGCAGTGCCCACAGAGGTCAGAAGAGGGCATCAGATCCCCTGGAACTGGAGTTACAGATGGTTGTTAGCTACCACGTCAGTGCTGGGAATCAAACCCAGGTCCTTTGTGAGAGCAGCCAGTGCTCTTAACTGCTAAGCCATCTCTCTAGCCCCTAAAACATTCCTTAAAAGCAGGGTGCCAGAAGTTTCTTTACTAGGTCAGGCAGTAAATACTGTTTGATGTTCAGAGGGCCAGGCAAGGTCTTTAAAACTGTTCAACTCTGCACATATAAGTATTTTATAAACAAAGGGGCTTGCATAGGTTTTTCTGAGGGGGGCTACAAAATGAACAACTAGCCAGTGGGCTATAGCTTAGGACAGTGAAGTTAACCCCAATTATAATAGCACAGTAAGGATCAGACTGTGTCCTCAGCTTTGGTACAATGCCACCTCTCCTTTATACCTTTCCTCCCCCTCCACTCCCCTATATCTTTTTTATGGTTCTAGAGATTGTGCCCAAGGTCCCTAAACGTGCTGTACCACTGAGCCACACACCATTAGACCTATTAAGAATTTCCCAGGATGGATGTTCTTTCAGCTCTGCATATCAGTAGATCACCAGGGGTTAAGGAAAGTACTGCATTTTGTCCTGCTCTGTGTAGTTACGTCATCAGTTGTGTCAGTAACTACAGCATAACCCAGCTCCCCTGTTGCCATGATAATAAACAGTTTCCGTGAAGAACCAAAAGCAGCCTGAAAGCAGGAGTGCAGCAATATGGAGATTCGGAAGTGATAAAGATAAAGATTATACCTAGAAGAATTCATCCCATTACTACGGGCAGTGGATAGGAAGGGAAAGGTGTTAGGTAGAGGCAATGTGCAGCTAGGAGCAGTATCCCAGGTAGCAAGCATCTCGTTCCACTGCTCAGGAGTACTAAGAAAAAAGTTCTTAAAGATGCTGACAGGGAATTTTAAACTGTGGCAGCTCTGCTATTTGCCTAACTTACTAAGACAATTTTAGCAGTATAAATTGATAGGATATTTCTGAAAATCATTTTGCATTTAGAGTTTTAAAAATACTTAGTGTGGGGTGGCACACCTTTAATCCTAGCACTCCATAGGAGGATACAGGCAGATCTGTAAGATCAAGGACAGCCTGGTCTACATAGTTCTAGGCCAGCTGGGGCTACAGGGCTACCCTGAAGATTTATCGTCCTCTTTTTTTTTTTTTTTTTTTTTTTTTTTTTAAAAAAAAAAAAAAAAAAAAAAAAACTTATTGTAGGGCCAGAGAGATGGCTCAGTGGTTAAGAGCACATAGTGCTCTTGGAGAGGACCTTGGTTCCCTTTCCAGCACCCTTGTATACCTGTAACCCTACCGTTCCAGAGGACCCAGTGCCCTCTTCTGGATTCCATGAGTACTGCACTCATGTGCACATACCTACACATAGACACATAGTTTAAAACAAAAATAAAATCTCTTAAAAAATACTTAGTACTTCATACCTGATAATTCTACTTTTGGAAATTTATGCTACTTCTAAATATTTTTTTCAACCATTTTCTGTTTCTATAACTGAATCCTCAGGTTGAGTAATATATTTGTGAGGAAAAAAGGTATTTGGTTTGTAGTGGTAGCTATGGGAAGTTGAAGGTTATGGACCACATTTGGTGAGGTCCTTGCTAGTAGAGTTCACAGAGCCCGAGGCAGGGAATGATACCCTGACTCAGGTCTTCTTTTTCTTATAAAGCCACAATCCATTGGATTAGATGTCACTGTTCTGGCATCATTTACCCTTAATTATCTCCCAAAGGTCTTACCTCTAAATACCATAGTTGGTTTAAGTTTCCACACTCTTTACACCTCATAAAATGAAGATTAAATTTTAAGGTGAATTTTTGTGGCTACATTCAAACCATAGCAAATATATATAAACAGATTTTAAACACACAAAAGTTCACTGTAAAGACATGTGAAAGTATCTTAAGTGCCCAGTAGTTGGGATATAGCTTAATAAATTTTGCTTGCATAAAGTGGAATGTTAATTTTTATACTCTATACATGAGAATATCTTTCCAACTTGAAACAGATCCTTTTGGTAAGGATGAGGAATTGTAAATACTTCTCAAGGTTTCAAGTGTATCCAAATCACCTATGATCTTGGCTAAAAAGCAGATTCCAGCTAAGTAGGACATGGATATAGCCTAAGATTCTGCACTCCTTGCTGGTTCTTAGTGGTCTTCCCTTTTGTGCCACATTTTGAGTAGGTGTTACATAAAATAAAGCCAGGCACAGAAAGACAGATACCGCGTGTTCTTAAGTGCGGAATCTAGAATAATCATAGAAACAGAGAGTAAAATGTTAACCACATGGGGGTGAAGAGGTGGAGAATGTGTTGTCAGAGGATACAGGCTTCCCTGAGGACACTAGTGTGTGGAGTATGACCTGACTACTCTGCTTTTCCACTTTGTACATGGAATATCACTTTCTATCCAATAAGTACATATAACTAACTTTGCCAGTATTCATTTGTGAATGGATTTGTCTTAAGCATCTACAGTAATATGTTGAAAACTAGAGGTGGCTCCTTCTACAGGAGGGATAGTTGTCCCGCTTTCTTTGAGCATTTTCATTTTTACATTTTTAAAAATTTACTGTGAACATATTAATGTATAGAGTAGGTATGCCTATTTTTTAAATTTGTTTTTATTGGCTTTTTGTGTATTTCATTTTACACAGAACATCTCAAACAATCTTAATCATCTTTATGCCCCCATCCCCACTGGCACCCCACAGCCCCCCTCCCCCCAGAGCCCATATACTCTGTCATTTCTGTTAAGGCCCACTGTGTTGTTAATGTCCCCACCTGTTCCCCAGTACAAGTCCATCCACTGAGGTCTAGTCAGCCTATCTATAGTCCCTTGTTTTAGGAAGATCAGCTCTTCTTCATCTAGCAGCAATCAGTTGCCAATATTTCTTCAGATAAAATTGGGTCTGCTGTTTGTTTTCCCAGATCTATGCTGGGTTTTTGTCTGCTTGAGTTTGCATGGGACTTGTATATGCTGACACCATTACTATAGAACATATGAGCAGGTTTCTAGGAGCTTGTAGGACTCTTTTCATATGGTCATGCACCACCTTCCTGGCTCTTACAGTCTTTCCAGCCCCTCTTCCGTGATGGTCCCTGAGCCTTGGGTTGAGTGAAGTCTATTAAAGGAGTCCTGTCTGAGGACCGTCATTCAGCAGACTCTTGATCTCTACATTTTGGCCATTTATGACCATTTGTGTTCCTGGTCCTCTGCTGCATGATAGAATTTCATTATTGAGGACTGATGAGTGGTGACTGGGATATTTGTCTGTAAATATAGAAATGCATATTTTGCACATAATAAGAAATCACATTAGTCTCACGATGTAACAGTTTCGGGGTTTTCTCTAAGATCTATGACTACTCCAGCCATGTATATTTGGTTATGTTTACAGTACCACACTTGAGTTTCCTCCCATTGAGTGAGCTTTTAGTCCAATTAGGTAGCTGTTGACTGCCCCCAAGATAAAAGTGCCACTGCACCAATGATATATGCTGTGCTCTCCATTGATGTAGTTATTTGGTCTTGAAGCTGGTGTTGGATCATCCATTGATGTTTTCTCTTGGCACCTTCATAGCATTCTCCAAAGCTGTGAGAGCTAGCCTTCAAGGGAAGTGGTTGCAGGTCAACTGAAGCTCTATTGCTCCAAATCCTGGGTCCAAAGTATGATCTGTCTTTGGCAGTAGAGTCTTACCTTCAAGTTATGGTAGGCCATTAAGTGCTGTGGCAATAGCCTGAGTCATTTGGGGAGTCTCTTGGCCTGTTATTTTTTGGATGCTGTATTTGTCACACTTTCTGTGAGTTACAAAAAAAAAAAAAAAAAAAAATCCCCAATATAAACAAGTTAAGGGAGGGATACGTTATTTTGGTTCAGTTTCAGAGGTGAATTTTGGTCCATTGTGATGGGGAAAAGCAGAACAGCTTACCTCATGGCAGCCAGGAAGCAGAAAGAAAGTGACTGAGGCTCAGGACAGGATGCCCAAGACATGCTCTGGTGACCTATGACCTCCAGCTATATCCTACCTTCTAGTTTCCAGACCCTCCCCAGAGACCAAGCCTTTGTGCATGAATCTTTTTTTTTTCTTTTTAAGGAGGGGAACTTCATGTCCAAACCAAAAAAAGTGCTTACTGTATTTACTAAGTACTCCATTTATAAGTTCCATTTTCCAGTGAAATCCTGTAGAGTGGACAGAGGACTGTAGTGTTATCTACCTTGTGGGGTTTTATAGAGATATGCTCAAACTAGGCTATGTTATGTACATAGGTTAGTGCTTGACATTTATTAAATTTCAGCAAATGATACTTCTATGATCATTACCATTATTTATTGCTATCTTGTTTTATTGAGACACTTTGAGGTACAAAAGAGATCACATAGTAACAAGTGACAACCCAGATTCAGATCTAATTTCAGAGCTGTTATGCTGCCTTCAGTATACATTTTAAAGAAATACATTATTTGCATATAAAAATGTAAGGAATATTATAGTAAGTGTGAGTGTACCATCCAGTTTTTATAATTTGTACACACATATACACATTGTCCCTCCCCTTTCCTCCAAAGTGAGGATGCTTCTGAATTTTTTTCCTTGTATTTGCATGTCATAGTATTGTTTAATTTTATGTAAAATGGAATTATAAGTCATGTGTTGTTTAATTTGTTGTGTTCAACAAATATTTGTGTTCTTAATTTTTAACCATATTGCTGTATGTTGCTATACTTGATTCACTTCACTGCATTGCATGGTGTACCTAGAGTTTCTTCATTTTATCCACTGATAGTGGACCTTTTGGTTGTTTCCAGATTTTTGTGTTTGTTATTTCTGACCGTGCTGTGGTGAACTTTGCTCATGTTCCAGGGTATCAGTTTAAGAGTTTCTGGCATACATGTGTAGGAGCAGAACTGCTGGATCACAAGGCAGACACCATATTAACATACTAAGGAAGGTTCCTGTTTTCCAGTGTGGGTGTACTCGTTATGCACTCACCATCAGTGTGGACGTGTTCTAATTATTCCAGTATTTCACCAGCATTTGATCTAATCAGGTTTTTGAATTTTGCCAATTTGATTGATGTAAAATGATATTTAAGTATGAGTATGAATTGAGCTTTTAAAAATGATGATCTAGGACTGGAAAGGTGACCTAGTGGTTAAGAGCACTGGCTGCTCTTGCAAAGGACCTGGGACCAGCACCCATATGGTAGCTAACCATAACTCAAATTCCAGGGGATCTGATGCCCTCTTCTGACCTCCACGGGCACTGCACACTGCAGGTGTACCTACCTGCATGTAGGCAATATACTCATACACATAAAATAAAAATAATAAATATAATACTGAAAAAGCAAAACAGAAAACCCATTGATTTTGTAGTTGGGTGTGGTGGGGTCCTTCATCTCAGCAGATTAAAGAGGTAGAGGCAGGTGGATCTCTGAGTTCTAGGCCAGCTGGGACTACAGGGAAACCCTGCCTCAAAAAGACCCCCAGAGAGAGAGATGTTGCTTTTTGATTCTTGTAAACAGTCCCCAGAATGACCAACTAGAGTTATCTGGAAACTGTTGGGACACAGATTATGAATATTATATTTAAAACCCTATAGAATTTCAGTTTTTCTTTTGTTTTCAACTTTTGTACTATATATTTTATGATATTTTTCAGAATTCAACTTGGCTTTTGGTTTCAAAACATTTTATATTCTAAATTATTGATTGCTTATTTATTTTTGTTCTGATTATTAAACATAGGTCCCTCAGGCATATGGGCAAGTATTATTTGTAAAATTATTCATTAATCTTTGTTTCTGCTTTTCCACTTAATGGTACGTGTCTATTTTTTAGTAGTTAAAAAGCATCTTATTGTTACTGATTGCTCTGAGAAGTACTTGTGATAAAGTAAAACATGCCAAACTTTGAGTTGCTATGTTCAAAAGCCACAAGATTGTAAGTGAAGGGCAGTGTCCATCACAAGGGAGTAGTGTGACAATCTAAAAATAAGGTTGACCTCTGGTAAGAGAATTCTTTTGCCAATTAAAAAACGCCTTTTATGTTTTAGCACCAGTATGCATGAACGAGTGAACCGAACAGAAAGACAGTTTCGATCACTTCCAGATAATCAGCAGAAACTACTTCCTCAGTTTCCTCTTCACTTGGACAAGATCCGGAAATGCATTGATCATAATCAAGAAATACTGCTGACCATTGTGAATGATTGCATACATATGTTTGAAAATAAACAATATGGAGAAGATGTATGTGAAAATTTGTTGTTTGTTTCATTCTAGGGTTTAGCTTCTATCTGTCAAGGCTTTTAGGCTGTCTCGGGATTTCAGTTTTATTGTGAGGTCATCAGCTCTACTGAAAATTTTCAGGTGTATGCTGTACTTTGAAGAGGCTTAAAGAACAGTATTCTGGAGACTAGATTTTTTAAATATATTTTTATTTCATGTGTATGAGTATATTTTGCCTGCATGTATGTAAGTGCACCTGTGTCATGCAGTGCCCGAGGAGATCAGAAGAGAGCATTGGATTCCCCCTGGAACGGGAATTATGGATGGTTGTTAGCCACCATGTGGGTGCTGGGAATCCAACCTGGGTCTCCTGCAAGAACAGCCATTGTTAACCACTGAGCCATCTCTCCAGCCCCTGGAGATGAGATTTGTACACCTTTTTTTGTAATACTTAGATAATTGTTGGCACTTCGATGTACTTTTGCATGGGTTTTTTACGTTCTAGCATATAGAGTGACCCAAATTTTTATAAAATACTTTACTAGCTATATAAAGTTAATTTCCCTTATTTTTTTTCAGCATCTTGTATCTGGTGATGTTCTTCTTTTCTTTAAAAAAACATTTTTACTTAAATCTCAAGGGTCTGGCAGTAATAGAAATTGTAGTCTCTTTTTGTGTCCACAGGGTAGATAAAATTGGGCCTCCAGTGTGAGCCTTTTCATGCTGCCCATTAGTGAACTGGAGGGATTGTCTTCCCTCATAAAGAGGCTAGGGTGTTCTGCCTCTATAGTGGCTCAGTTCTGGTCCTTTCAATTCTATGGTAGTTTTATAATTAGTGAATCTTAATCTATTGAGGATAGAAATGAGACCACCAGACTTTTTTTCATGTAGGATCTCAGGCAGCACTTGAACCCCTGTTGAGGTGAGAGACTAGTGATTTATCTACTAAATGGCCTATGGAGCCTCTTAGTATATGCGTTCATTTAACCATATTCAAAATTAACTTTCAGAAAGTAATTCACTTTTGTTTATTAACAGGGGAATGGAAAGATTATGCCGGCATCTACATTTGACATGGATAAGTTAAAATCCACGTTGAAACAGTTTGTAAGAGACTGGAGTGAGACTGGGAAAACAGAAAGGGATGCCTGCTACCAGCCAATCATTAAAGAAATTATCAAAAATTTTCCCAAAGAGAGATGGTAAATAGTACTGTTTGTAAACACTTTCTTTAAGCTGTGTATGCACTTAGTTTTAAGACATTTCACTGTCTTGATTCATTTTCATAATTATTGCTGTGTATTTTGTATGACTGGTATATTTGTTATTCAATGCTTTTTGATTGTGTGACATTACAGTTCCTATTTTTTGAGCAATTTTTGCTCTAATAATTACAGGAAATTTGGAACTATATAGAGTTAGTCTTAATATTCGTGTGTTTTTGCATTAACATAGTAAGATATTTTGCTGATTCTGTCAGGTCACTGTAGGGGACTGAGTGAATAGTTTGTTTTAAATTTCTGAAATACTTTCAAGTATTTACTATATCAGAAAATCTCTTAAGGGAAATTTCCATAAACCGTGTGCCTAGAAATCTAGGAACATTGCCCCTTTCTAGAAAATGAAATAGATGATAGGATTTCATCTGCATTTCATCTTTTATTTCATATGTGTTTACTGTAGCATCTTTCTGAAATAAAGTAATAAGTGAATTTTTGCAACATTATGTAGTTTTTGACTCTTATAAAAGTATAACTACTCCTTCATTTGCGAATTAACTACCATGGCCACAGGAAACCATTTGTTTATTGGTGATATCATCTGTAAAGGGCAGATGCAAGACATTTTATTGTCTAGTCAACTTTTAACATGTAATGACTATTAATTCACCTTGTTTGGATACCTATATGATTTTTTTCCTTTTAAAAAAGTTAATTTTAGCCGGGTGTGATGGCGAATGCCTTTAGTCCCAGCACTCGGAGGCAGAGACAGGTGGATCTCTGTGAGTTCAAGGTCAGCCTGCTCTCCATAGTGAGTTCCAAGCCAGCTGGGGCTGCAGGGAGACCCTGTCTCAAAAAGACCAAAAAAAAAAAAAAAAGTTGATTTTAATTTTATTCGTGTGTTTTGCCTTCATGTATGCAGGTGTACCACATGCATGCAATGCCTATGGAGGCCAGAAGAGGGCAGTGGACCCGTTGGAACTAGAGTTACAAATGGTTGTTAGCCATGTGGGTGCTGAGAACTGAACCCAGGTTCTCTGCAAGAGTATCCAGTGCTTTTTTTTCTAAAAGTTTTAATTTATTATTTATTTTTTTAGAAGAAGCATTTCATTACAACAGCATTGACATATTCAATAGCAATTTTCTGAGCTAAGATGCATCTTTTTCAAAATTGGCTGTAAATTTTTAGGTTTACAGTTGAATTGTTACAGTTATACAATATTGTACTCAGTATAAACCCTATAAGACATAAAATTAAATGAGGTTTTAACCTTTAAAAAAGATCTCCATTTCACTATTAAAATACACAATTTTTTACAGAAAAATTCATTTTCAATACAATTGACATTAAAATGTTTGCACATGCATTTCTAATCTCTATATATCAGATTATTACTAGTCACAGTTGGTTACTTTCTGAGCTCCTTGGCATCT